CGTTCAGTTCTGGAACACGATACCAGTCCATATAAGAAAGAGCACCACACTCAAGACTTTTAACATATGTTAAAAACCTGGTTATTGGACAATCAAGATTGTAACCACTCGTGATGTGTTACTTGCTTTTATGTTTTGATGACGTGTTTTAAATTGTAATGTTTAACTAGTTACTTTTATATTGTAATGTTTACAGTGCACTTTGATGGCATTTTACACCTTGCCACTACAGTTGGAAACTTGCTGTTAGCTAATACTGACACATTTACAGCAATGTTGATTAATCTGTATAATACATAATATATAATACATTTTAGATGTGTGAAGCTAAAATGTGAGACAGGCCAGTTCTGTTTAGCTGTAGATAAAACTGAGGGATTTTTTATCTTTACGCTTTTTAATGTACAGTAAGTAAGTAAGTAGTAATCTTTATTTATATACCGCCTTTTCACTGCACATCGGAGTCTCAAAGCGGTTTACAATTGTGATTTTTGGGAGAGGGGGTGCCAGTACAGGAGGCACATGCCAGACCTATTGTACATATTTTTAGTGGTAGGGGAAACCGGAGCACCCGGAGGAAACCTACGCAGACACGGGGAGAACATGCAAACTCTACTCAGAAAGGCCCTGGTCCAACCGGGATTCGAACCCAGGACCTTCTTGCTGAGAGGCGAGAGTGCTATCCACTCAGCCACCGTGCCGCCCAGTGATCGTTAGTGCCTTAGTTTGCTCTGTCTTGTTTTGTTCAGTACTGTGATCTGTCTTGTGTATGAACTGTGCTATACAAAAAAACTAGCCTTGCCTTTGTCTGCCGTCTAAAGTCCACTCTATCACTCATGGAGCGTGTTCTTTCCTGTCACACCATTTTAGATATAGGCCATAGTCAGCTTTTTCCTCCTTTAGCTCCACTCTGCATGTATCTCCTCACAATCAGTCATCCACTGGAGATTTCAGAAGTTAATTACCTACTCTGGGTTGGTGCATGTCACAAGCCAGCAAAAGGCCAAAGCAAATCTATGTATGCAATCCTCTTCTCTCTCCATAGACCACAACCTCTTGAGCCATACCCCCGCCAATGTTTATACCAAATTACCCAGAAATCCCAGCTGTAGTAGCGGTAAACAAGCTTGTGTGTGGATTTGGTAGCAACCCACTCACTTGTTTGCGCATTATTGAATAGGGAAAGCGATGCGTGATTTAATTGAATGAGGTCCCTTTTTGCAGCCAGTTTAAGGGGGTAAAATTTGATTGCAGTTTTAATTAACCAGCATACTTGGCCCCTTTCATCGGTCCAAGGGATTACAATTATGAGCACAATGGAGCAGCAGTGGTATTGTGGCGCGGTCATTTGTATAAGAGTCTTTTAAGATGCCATAGCTGCTGTAGAGGTGGCTGTGCCGGGAACACAGGCAGTTTTAATCCTGGCAAAGGCAAAGGCAGTGACTTGTTGTGGTGTTTTGGGACGCTGTTTGAGAAACATGCATTCAGAGGTTTGTAGAAATTTTTTGGTTGTTATTATTTTGAGACATAAATCACTCAGATATTTGAGTAACAGGTCCCCATGCTAAGAATTTCTGAAAGGTCTAGGGACGTTACTATCTCACAAGTAGCAACCAGTGAGATAGTGATTGGGATAAGGCAAGGCAAGGCAAGGCAAGTTTATTTGTATAGCACAATTCATACACAAGGCAACTCAAAGTGCTGAACAAGATAGCATTAAAATCATAAATAATCACAGAACATTAAAACGAAAGATAAAAATATAAAATCCCTCAGTTGTATGCACAGCTAAACAGCACCGTTTTTAACTTGGCTTTAAACATTGTCAGAGAGGAGGCCTGTCTCACATCTTCAGGAAGATTGTTCCAGATTTTAGCAGCATGAATCTGAAAAGCAGCCTCCCCATGTTTAGTTCTGACTCTGGGCACTAACAGGAGTCCAGTCCCTGTGCTCCTCAGAGTCCGGGCTGATTCATATGGGACTAACATGTCACTAATATATTTTGGTGCGAGGCCATGGAGAGACTTGTACACAAGCAAAGCTGTTTTAAAGTCTATTCTCTGAGCCACAGGAAGCCAGTGCAGGGACCTGAGGACTGGACTAAATCAGAATATCTAGATGCCTCGCCTTACCGGCTGCTTGCTACTTCAGGTCAATAAGATATTGAGTGGCTAAGTGGGTAAGTAAGTAAGTAAATAAGTAATCTTATTTTATATAGAGCTTTTCACAGACCAGGGTCACAAAGCGCATTACAATTGTTGTGGGCATTTGTCTCTCACTCCACACAAAGATGGGAGCTGGGTTGCCGTACAGGAGGTGCATGCTAGACCTTTTGTAAGTAAGTAAGTAAGTAAGTAAGTAAGCTTTATTTATACAGCGCCTTTCACAGACCAAGGCCACAAAGCGCTTCACAGTTTAAACAGGTAAAAACAGACAAAATACAATTTAAAATGTGCGTATACAAAAAATAATACTAAATATACAGTCAATATAATGGCCAAGACACCTCAGTGACAGGTTTAAAAACAGCCGCAAGAAAATTATGTAAAAGCTGCGTTTTGTACATGTTTTTAATTGTAGGGGAAACTGGAGCACCCGGAGGAAACCTACGTCGATGCGCAACCATAAAAATAAAATGTTTTTCATTTTATAACAGAGAATAGCTAACACACATTTTTCCACCTGGGTTACATTTGACTCAAGGATAATTAATGGTTAGTGGCAAACAAAATTCAGACATGTTCTCCATACTGTATTTGTGATTCCATTGCATTAGATGATGTAGTGTATGAAGAAAATGACGATCGTCTGGGATCAATGTACTTATGTAATGTAATCTCAGGTGGTCAATAATATGGAAACCAACCATGTAGAATGTATTTGGCTGTAGTTCAATGAAACTGAAACTTCTTCTTGTGGCATATCTATACAAAATTGTTTAGTTTTTCCCAATACTACAAAAGCGTGCTGAGCATTCCATATAATTATCGTATTCTTATAGATTTTACAAGAGCCCTATAAAACTGACAACAGTTTAACTCTTGGTGTGTCATCTGTACAATAATAGAAAGTCAAAGCCATAAGGGAAATATTCTCTCAGATCAATACATTAACTCATTGTGGAAGAAACCTCTGAGTTGTTTTGTCAAGTGGCTGTGCAGAGCTGTTGAAATTTGTTGAAATCTTGTGTATAATAGCGGCCAACAAGGAACAAGAACGACAAATAACCATCACCCAGGGGTCAATCCAAAAATATGTGACATAAAGTGATATTGAACGATTCCCAACACATCCAAGAAAACATGTTAATATCCATCTGCACACTGCACTTGTGGCTGCTCTGACATCTGTGAATTAAATTGGTTATTTCCTCCTTGAGTTTGTCAGACGAGGCGACAGCAGCAGCAGGCGTCCATGGGGCATCTTATCTTATGGAGAGAGTGTGCGGGACAGAGGAGGAGGCGCTGATATCTGTCCTCTTCTCTGTATCAGCCTCGCTATCATAACCTCATTCTCACTGATACCATCTCCTGGGAACATTCTCTGCGTTCAACCCTGCTCCAAATTCAAGCTATATTTATCCCATTTCCACTCTTAACATTTGCAGGACTTGTAATCATGGTTCAACCTGAGACTTGCGGAGCGCCTCCTAATTAACCCGGAGGCCTCTGGATTCAACCTCATCAGTGGGCCGTGCAAATCTCAGTCACTGGAGCCCTGGACTGTATCACAAAGAGACAAAATATAGACTCAGCCACAAGTGGTGCATGCCAATAAGTTGAAAGTAGATCTTTAAAAGGTTTGTCCACAAGTACAGCCTGTTGTCAAAAAATGAAGAATGATTGTTGGATTGTCAATAGTGAAATACTATTAGTTTAGTTTTAACATTGTGGGACATACTGTATCAATGCAGCTGATCTAAAACAGAGTAAGCTCCATCTGCACATAACCTATCAGTATAAAATTGTTGGCAAGTTGTGTTTATAGAATTCAGAAAAATGATCAGTCAATCTGTTCAAAGAAAAAATCTTCTGCATTATTAATGGTCATTGAAATCAAAATTTGAGAATTGAAGGCTTATGACTCTATTCAATCTCATGTTTTAGAGGGTAAAATTACATATAAAAGGTAAAAAGGAGGATTTTATACTTCCGGGTGGATCATCAAGACTATTGGTCCTCCCAACTGTCAATCATTGGGGTGATAGGTGCTCGTCAAATTAGACCAGAGTTTTGTTCAAATAGTGGAGAGGGCGGTTCTTCCCTAACATTTTGGAAAATCCTCCTATATACCGTTAAGTAGACAATATAGGGTATAACAAGTATGACATGCTTTCCACATGTTAATTATTCCAAATAAAAAATACACCAGCCATAACACACACACAGCCATGCAATTATATAGAACATATTTTCTGTTAAGTGTGATTTCATATTTGTACAACTAAATACAACTATTCTAGAACTGAAAGCTTTTAAACAGAAGGGGCAAAAGAAGTCAACAGAAGTCATTCATTCATTGCATGTAGTGTCCAGACCTGTTCGATGAGGTCAGTCGGTGGACATAGCTCACCCACATAACACTTATCACAACAGAATAAATTAAAATACTGTTAAATACCGACAACATAACCTGAGCAATTGTTTAAAGCTACAGTTCAACAATAGTTTGTATTTACATTTTGCAGAGTGCTGGTGTAATTGAGATTAGTGGGGTCTCCAAAGACCCACTTAATTCTTTTTTGTGTCTGGAACTCTCTAGCGACCTCTACCTGCAGTGGAGTGTAAAATCTCATTATGCCTGTTGTGGGTAAGCCTGTGTATGAGCTCCCAGTGGAAACCAGTCTAAACTAAGCCGCGTGATGATGATGCTTTCTGAGCTGACATAAGACATTTGGCCAGGAGCAACGGACAGGCACCGAGCTGCTCTTTTAGGACGGGGGAGTCGGCTGGGTAAATAAGGAAGACAGCTGAGGAGGGGGAGAGAGGAGGATGAGGGAGTCAACTGAGGAGGGGGAGGAAGGTGGACAGGGGGAGTCGACTGGGGAGGGGTAGAGAAGAGGATGGGGGCAGTTGATGGAGGAGGAAAGTTGGAGTTGGCTGAGGAGGGGGAGGGAGGAGGACAGTGGGAGTTGGCTGAGGAGGGGGAGGGAGGAGCACAGTGGGAGTTGGATGAGGAGGGGGAGGGAGGAGGACAGTGGGAGTTGGCTGAGGAGGGGAGGAAGGAGGACAGTGGGAGTTGGCTGAGGAGGGGGAGAGAGGAGGATGGGGGAGTAGGCTGGGGAGGGGGAGGAAGGAGCACAGTGGGAGTTGGTTGAGGAGGGGGAGAGAAGAGGATGGGGGAGTTGGCTGAGGAGTGGGAGAAAGGAGGACGGAGTTGTCACTGGGGAGGGGGAGAGAGGAGAGACAGTGGAAGTTGATGAGGGAGGGGGAGAGAGGAGGACGCGGGGAGTTGGCTGTGGAGGGGGAGAGAGGAGCACAGGGGGAGTCAACTGGAGGTGGGGAGAATGGAGGACAGTGGGAGTCTACTGGGGAGGGGGAGAGAAGAGGACAGTGGGAGTTGGCTGAGGAGCGGGAGGGAGGAGGACAGTGGGAGTCTATTGGGGAGGGGGAGAGAAGAGGACAGTGGGAGTTGGCTGAGGAGGGGGAGGGAGGAGGACAGTGGGAGTTGGCTGAGGAGGGGGAGGGAGGAGGACAGTGGGAGTTGGCTGAGGAGGGGGAGGAAGGAGGACAGTGGGAGTTGGCTGAGGAGGGGGAGGGAGGAGGACAGTGGGAGTTGGCTGAGGAGGGGGAGGGAGGAGGACAGTGGGAGTTGACTGAGGAGGGGAGGAAGGAGGACAGTGGGAGTTGGCTGAGGAGGGGGAGAGAGGAGGATGGGGGAGTAGGCTGGGGAGGGAGAGAGCGGAGGACGGGGAGAATCGACTGGGAGGGGAAGGGAGGAGGACAGGGTAGTCGACTGAGGAGTGGGAGAAAGGAGGACGGAGTTGTCGACTGGGGAGGGGGAGAGAGGAGAGACAGTGGAAGTCGATGAGGGAGGGGGAGAGAAGAGGACAGTGGGAGTTGGCTGAGGAGGGGGAGGGAGGAGGACAGTGGGAGTTGGCTGAGGAGGGGGAGAGAAGAGGACAGTGGGAGTTGGCTGAGGAGGGGGAGGGAGGAGGACAGTGGGAGTTGGCTGAGGAGGGGGAGGGAGGAGGACAGTGGGAGATGGCTGAGGAGGGGGAGAGAGGCGGATGGGGGAGTAGGCTGGGGAGGGGGAGAGAGGGGGACAGTGGGAGTTGGCTGAGGAGAGGGAGGGAGGAGGACAGTGGGAGATGGCTGAGGAGAGGGAGGGAGGAGGACAGTGGGAGATGGCTGAGGAGAGGGAGGGAGGAGGACAGTGGGAGATGGCTGAGGAGGGGGAGAGAGGCGGATGGGGGAGTAGGCTGGGGAGGGGGAGAGAGGGGGACAGTGGGAGTTGGCTGAGGAGAGGGAGGGAGGGAGACAGTGGAAGTCGGGGAGAATTGACTGGGAGGGGAACGGAGGATGACAGGGTAGTCGACTGGGGAGGGGGCTGAGGAGGGGGAGAAATTGGAACGGGGGGAGTCGACCGGGGAGCGGGCTGAGGAGGGGGAGAGAGGTGGACGGGGGGGAAGAGCGGGAGGTCTTCTTGTCCTTTTCCGAGCTCAAGTGCAGAGCTAAAGTGCGGTCACGATTCGAGCAGCGCTTCATCAGTGAAAGGACCACTCTGGGTTAAATGTTACGTACAAACAAGGAGACAACAAATTAGAAGGTGTATTTTCAACACCTGATCGGCACAAAGTCTCTCATCAGGAGTTCTTTTCTAACGGCAAACAAGATGCATAACACAATGTTCTGTATTAGGAAGTAGTGTGAATTTTAATTACTTTTCACAATCCAGAAAGAGTGGTTTTTGATGTTTGTTTGTCATTTGTTGTGTTTGCTGGTGTCTGTGATTGTGTGTGTGATAGCCCTGTCTTGTCAGTCGGCTGATTGGTTTATTATGTTTTATCTGAATGGTGTTTTATTTTTGTCCCAAACAATACGGAAATTAGATTTTTGGCAAGTTTCCCTGTAAAATTTAGAAGTGAAATCATTAATATGCACTGTCCCTAAATGCAAATACTGGTCCAACCCATGGTTTAGTAAATCTCCCTGGCATAAGTAACTTCAGTATAGAGGGGCTATACATTATTATAACACAAACATTATAGCTGAAGTTACTGACATAATCTTTGAATTAATTTCATATCCATACAAACACATTTAACTTTACCCCCTCGAGTCTTCAAAAATGGTTTAAAAGCGTTGACACTATATGTATTCCAACATGTTACCTGTGGAGACTGCCAACAGCTTTGACGACTGCTCCTTTGAACACGACTTTAAGAGAATGAACTGCCTTATCACTTGAGTTCGTGATGAAATATCTGCTAAAGTAACATTCCCAGTGCTGCAATTTCTGATTAGCACTAATTAGCAAATGTCAGAGTGATAACGACAGCAGTAATGATAATGGAGATTACACCTGCACTTGTGCATGCTAAAGCTGGTTATGGCCACTAGCGAATACATGTGAAGTGTTGGCAAATTATGCAAGCCTTGTGGATTGCAACATAACCATTTCATACCTGCTGGGTGCAAATGCCATAATGTTCATTTAGTCTTTGTGTGCACATAAGGCTGCAAACTTACGCTTAGCTTGCACTGCATGCCAAATATGTTTGTACAACCTAAAACCTCCACATTTATTGTGCCCTTTTGCAAGACTCTTTATCATTATTATGCATTTATTGCTCCTCAATTTAATCCCCACGCTATTGATTTTCTTCCCCTCACATTAACGGTGCCGTTCAGTAAAGTTAATATTTCTCTTGACCAGCACTTGAACCCCATTCACCCTGTATTCTGGGTTTATTATCCGATGCAAGACGGCAGAATAGGCTTTCGACATTTACTAAATGTAATTGATTAAGTTAATAAGCTTTATTATTCGCCCAATATCAACCATGAATATTGGAACCATGTACAACTGTGTTTGTCTCTCACAAAAAATAATTCAAAAAGATATTCTATAGTCATTTTATGTTTTATCACTGGAGATGTATGGCTTTTGGGAAACTAACACACAACACATGACAATCTTTCTGTGAGCCGACTTTTTCCATTTCACTATTATAGGTATTGGATTTCCAGTACAATGCCTTTTAGCAACTTCCTGTTACTTTTGTGAAAGCCGGAGCATCTGAGCCAAAACACTGTGATCGGTGCACATCACAGCTCACTGCTATGATTTCCTTGTTTTCTGTTGCTATAAAACACGCATCAATCTCCACACACGCCCATATACCCACATCCCTGCACTAAACAACGCAATTTTCCTTGAACATGTCTCCCATTTTCCCTCCCAAGCCCCTCCTCTCCCAAACGCAGACAGAAGTGGGTATAATTGAAGTGTGCAACAGCGCACACCTTCGAAAAAATAATTACGACCATAAAAAGAGCAATTACTAACCTGGCAGTGAGTTGCTGTGGAATTGAATGCTGAGTCTTTTGTTTGTTTGACTAATGCTTTCTTTGAAGGAAAAACAAGCCACATTTAACACAAACTGAACAGCATTTTAGGCTTGTCTGAAATTTGGTGAAAATGTGACAACATTGAGACACACACACACACAACATGACCCACATAACCCCACAGACACACACACACACACACACACACACACATATATACCTACACACACATACATGCCTATTCATTCTTCCACTCGTACACACACGCACACCCAAGTATACGCACATACACACACGCACTCACACACGTACACACATTCTTCCATGCACACATACACACAAACTCACACACACAAAATCACGCACACGTACATACATTCTTTCACACACATACACACACACACACACACAGAATATATACAGAGTGATAGGTGCATTGCGTTATCTTGGCTCTCACTGCCTCTTGTCCGTCTGTTTGTGTCTATCAAATTGTTTTCTTGGTCTCTGATACACAGATGATTCGGCAGCATTGCAGGCAATTTGGCGTTTTTTTTTCCCTAAGATATGTTCAAATATTCAGATTTTATCAAGAGTTATTGATAAAAAAAACATTGATAAAAACCTGGGGGAGGGATCCTGTTAAGATTGCATGAATAATATAGCTAAGACGCTGTGATTAAAATGAAAGGACTAATAAGAAGGAGCTCAATCTCTTATTAGTGAACAGACAAGATACTTTTTTTGTATTAAACTTGTAGCAAATGGCTCCACGTTTGAAAATTAATCACAATCTGTTCCCTGCCTTCCTCAGACAATAGGTCCATCTATCATAAGTTTCCCTGGCCACAGCTAAAACGTACTGTTCGCTCATCCCTGAACAAGTGTGGTCTCTACTGTCCTGATTGATTTTACAAGACAGCTCCTGAGGATTATCGTTGGCCGTCATATCCTGTGTGTAATTGCACTGTATTGACTAATGCTGAAGCTTTAGTTAAAAGTAAGCAATCTGTCCAAGCAGGGCAATTTCTCAGTGGACGGCGATGATTTGTTGAAAATGTACGCAGCCGAAATCAATGAGGGTCTCCTGAGGTCCTGTTTGGAGATACAGTAGTCGTGACTGTACGCATGGGATTACACGACAAACAAGTCAGCGTCAACATGATACACCCAAAGTAACTATATTCAATTTGTATGACCTGTTTTCGTTAATTAGCAGTGAATATTTATTTGTTTAGGGTTATGACACACACACATATGCACCTACACATAGGCAAACACATGCAAACCTACCGTACATTATATTATTCCACAAATACATACACACACATACACACACACACAAAACACACACACACACACACATACATGCACGCACACACACACAGAGATGCACCTACACATAGACAAACACATGCAAACTACCGTACATTATATTATTACACAAATACATACACACACATACACAAACGCACGCAAACCTTCCGTACATACATTCTTCCACAAATACATACACACACATATACACACACACACACACACATACATACATGCACGCACACACACACAGAGATGCACCTACACACCCACATACACAAACACACGCAAACCTACCGTACATACATTCTTCCACACATATGCATGCACATGCACATACACACACACACACACACACACACACACACACACACACACACACACACACACACACACACACACACACACACACATAGATTAATACATACATATAGATTTAGGGTGATTGGTGGATTGCGTTTTCTTGGCTCTCACTCCCACTAGTCCATCTGTTTGTGTCTAGTATGTTACTGTAATATACTGTGATTATTCATGATTATTGTGATTACCTCGTAGGATCTATCTTGTTTTGCTACGTACTTTGAGTTGCCATGTGTATGAACTTTGCTGTAAAACTAAACTCGCCTTGCCTCGCCAACGACCGGCGGCACGGTGGCTGAGTGGATAGCACTCTCGCATCTCAGCACGAAGGTCCTGGGTTCAAATCCTGGTCGGAACAGGGCCCATCTGAGTGGAGTTAGCCTGTTCCCCCCATGTCTGCATAGGCTGAAGAGAAAAAAACAGATACTTGTTTCCTCCATGTCTCAATTACGTTAACGCCTTGTCAGAAATGTTCCATATTGGGGTAATTCACGGTCTAACATCTTTTACCGAGGAAACAAGCAGGTGGTGTAATTAGGTGACCTTTGCTTACTGCTATGAAAACACTATGGCAAGAGCGGCTGTTCAAAGCCTCGTCAGATACCTGGTTAGTTTGGTGGGAAACGTCCTTAAGGAAGACACTTCACCCATATTGATTCGATAAGATTGTCCTATATTTGCCCCGTTGTCATGCACATTACAGAATAAAAAGAAGGAAATTGAGCGCTCAGGTTGCACACAAACAGATATTTAAGATAATGGATACAAAGATTTAAAAACAATAAGTTTTAATAAAACAGAATAAGATAAGAAAACATTTGGAGCTATAATTGTTCTTGGTTCAGAGGTATTTACAGATGTGTGTTGTACTTTAGCAACAGAGAATATTACCAGAATAAACAATAGTAATAATAGCAGCAGGGAAAGTGACTGGTGAATGACAGAAATATCAGATGAATTAATATGTAAAAAGGCAGTAATGATAATAACAACAGGGATAGTGACTAGTGACTTTTAAATGACTTGTGAATTATAATCAGAACAGATGAGTGGCACTTGTATAGACTCAGCAGTTCTTGTTGTACAGTCTGACAGCAGCAGGGAAGATTAGCAGCCTTACCTCTGGCAGTATACCCCAGGGCAGAAGTGGCTCTGGGGTATAGTAGGTGTGTATAAATGAATTCCCCCCACTGTGGGACAAATAAAGTGCTACAAACAGATGTATTACTTTTGAATGAAAAAATATCCATCCAACAGAGCTGCCACCCCAGCCCCACACTCATCCTCCTGCAGGAGGATGGCTGCTCTGAGCGACCTTGGTCTTTCAACAGGACTTCCAAGCAAAGTGGGGTTATGTGTCTTGCCCAACAACAGCAGACATCAGTGGGAGTAGGTGAAGCAGGTCTCATGGTTGGATCGAACCCATGACTTTAAGGCCCAAAGGCCAATGTCGCTCCACACAACCCCCCACACACAACACCACCAACAGAGCCACTGTCGCCCCATGAAAACATCTCGCA